TCACGTTGATGATTACATATATCATTAGTATGAATGAATAAAAAAATAATTTCAATGTTATTACTAGATTTATCAATGTGTGATAAACGAAATTGACAAAAATATACTTTCTATAAAGATTGCGGAAATTTTTAATTATTTAAAAATGTATGAAATATTGAAAATTATATAATAATCAAAGAAATAAATAGGTCCTAAAATTATTCTCTCAACTTTCGGTGCCATTACAAAATAATTATTGAACTTATTACCGTGCTAATCAGTGTACAGAAGTACGGAAAAATCAGTGAAAAATCAGGACAAAATGATTTACTGCTTGGAAAATTAACGAAAAATGGAATACTCAAAACTGTTAAGATAAAACTTGTAGTAGTTTTGATAGAGCTGATGATTTTCAGAGTACTTAACTGATAATGCCCAAAAATTCTTAATTTTATCTGATAAATAATTATTAAAGATATTTCAAGAATTATTTACAAAATCAGAATAGAAGAGCGAAAATGATTTTTGTTTAAGGTTAAAATTTATTTCAAATTCAACAAATGCTTTTGTGTTTCAAAATAGAAATTAAAATTTTGATCTGTTGATGGTTTTAAAAACAGCTATTCATTTCTAAAGAATACGTCAAAATAAATGATATTAGTGTTTGAGAATTGCATAATTTATAATATAATATATGAATGCCGGAATATCTTGATTTTTCACAGCAATATATTTCCTAAATATTCTTTTTTATAAAGCAATTTAAATTATTAAAAATGCACTGAATCTTAAAGTAATAATCTCAGCAGATATTCTGTTTTATCTTACTTAACATTCATTACCATAATTAGTGCAAACCAAAACTTTCACGTATTGATATATTCATTCGTATTTTATTTAAAATTTAACAATGTTACCTTTATTTCACTGTCAAGTTTTAGTTATAACTTCTCGCACGATTTGAATCCTAATACTTTCATGAAAAACAAATGCAACGCTATTTTTCTTACAGTATATTGAAATTTTTTGAAATAACAAAATCTACATTTCGACTGAAACCTTAATTGAATTAGAAATGAATGAATTATACTTCTTTATTTCCAAACCGAAATTCTCGTTCCCATATCTTTTCTTTTTAAGGTTGCTATTTCCCTTCCAGCTGGAGTGACGGTCATTTGACGATATCCCATCTGGTAATTTTAACTTATCAACTGATTTGGAGTCATAAATTGATGATTTGGACTGCCTGATCCATCTGAAAGTTTATTTAACAGATTTTTATTATATATAATCGCTTCCCACTGCAGTGATTATGTTCACTGGCATACCTTTTTTCATTTGTGCAACTCCATTATTCTTTTCTGTAGAACCGTTTGTTACTTCAGGTAAAATTTTAGCAAAACACAAACTTTCCAATAAAAGAAAAAACTTTTAGTCAAAATGTTTCATCAATTGAGACAGTAAGACTGTATTTCAGCTTTTCAAGGATGGCCTTAATAATTCAAAAATTTTGATTAAAAAAACAAATTTCGGCATAACTTGCTAATAATTTGTGTAACCAAAAATAATCTCGAAAATTGACCAACTTGTATCAATTTCCTATTATATTAATTTTTTTTAACAGAATAAATTGCATCAATCTGCAGTTTTCAGACTCTCCAATGCCACAGCCATCACCAGCAAATATTTTTGCTGGAAATTCCGATGTCAAATTGATTCGAGGAAGACGAGTTTTTCTATCTATTAAAAACGCAAATCAACTCTCAAATGTGAATGATAGAGACTTCACGTCTGATGATAAGTTTAAAAAATTGTAAGTCAAATAAATTTCAAATTTTTAATTGCTAAAAAGTCGAAAGTTTCACTTTTGCTAAAATTTGATACGTTTTCTGTTATTTTTTTTGATTACAAATCGAAGGTTACTTCTGCAAAGCAAAAAACACAGCTTTTCAACTCAAGTAATAAATTGAAAAACTATTACAGATTTTGAATATTAATTTAACTCCTAGTTAATATTTCCTAAAACTTGAATTCTTCAATAATAAAAGAAATAATTTTTCAAAAAAAGCTTTTAATACTTTAACTACTTAAATTTTTATGCTAAAAATTACTTACTGCAAAATGCATTTTAAAAAAGATATGTTGAGAAAGTGAGCAAAATATTAATAACTATCTTCTATGCATGTTAATCTTTTCTTACTTTCAGAAATATTTTTCTACGAAAATGTTTTGCCTGTGAATACCAATAGTTTATATATTATACTTTCTTAAGTATTTTCACTATAAAAATGGATAAAAAGTTGTTTTAGAGAGTACGTAATAGATTGATATAGTAATATTTGAAAGTAATATTATCTCAATCTTATTTTTAACTTTTAGCAAATAACACAAAGTTTGTAAAACAATAACTTTTCAGTAATTTTAAAATAAATAAAGTGAAAAAAGTGATTTAAATTTATGTGGAGTTTTTAGCTTCGATAGCAGCAGAAAAACGACAGTTCTCAACTTTGCGCCGTCTACACAAAAGCATTCAACGCGAATAGAAGTCAATAATAACTTGAAGTCTTTAAAAAAAACTCCAGTATTCATTTTTAAATTTTAATTTTCATTACAATTGTTTTGCCAAAAGATTTTAATTTGAAAAAGTATTTTGTAAGATTGCCAATTTTTCGTTGCATTTAAAAATTTTACACTTTTTCCCTGTTCACTTTTTAATGACTATTTGAATTATTTTTTTTCGAAATCAAATTCGTTTGTATTTTCTACAATTAAGAGGGCATTTGCTACCTTTCGAGGAGATAATTTCGATGAAAAGTATCGCAGAATTAATGAAACGTATTTTCTGGAGGGAATCGATGTCGATAAAACTAATCACCAGAAATCAAGTATTGGGGTAAATCCTGTTATTTTAGCATGTCTACTCAGTCACATATTTGATTAGATTTTGTTATTTCTAATATTTTACACATTTTCAACGTATCACGCGCTTTATTTGAGAGGCATACTTTCAAATTAAATATATATGTATTTACATATGAATAATAACCAAAAAGCTGCAATATTTTTCAAAAATCTAGTAGATAAAAACCTTGTGAAACTCAGGTCAACAGGGCTTGCTGTCCTTACTAATGACTTGAAGAACCTGACAAATTTGTAAAGCTGAAAGTTGAACATTCGTCAGACTTTAAAAAGGCACGCTTTTCAAGTAAAGCATCTGGAACATAAAAAATATGACATTGGTAAAAATAACAGAATCCGTCCGAAATTGAATTCAAATTATATGTGTTCTGATGCATGCCAAAAGGAAAAAATGCATTAACAGGAAAAATTTCTTATTTTTTAATAATTTTTCAACTTGTCAATTAAATTTGTTTGTGATTTGAACAAAAAAAACTGTGTCCGTACGTGCGAGAAAATTGGCAGAATTCAAAAGCACTAAAATAATTTTTGAAATTATTTCGATGTGTGAAATCAACATGAATGATTATTGAATGTCTCAGAAACAAAATTACTTATTTTACTTGAGCAATCCGTTAAAATTATATTGCTGTAGTAGATCGAAAAGTCACATTAAATAACTGTTACAAGAAAATTCATTAATTCCCGAAGTAGCAAACAGCTTGCTGAATTTATATTAATAATTTAATTAGACAGTTTAGTGCGATATATTAATCAATTATTTGTTACTTGAAAAGTTATTCTAATAAAATTACAAGTCTTCAAATAATGAAAAAAAGTTGAAAAAAGATGTATAAAAATGGTAAAATAAAACAAATTATGATTGATTATAAATTGAAATAATCTAATCTACTTTTAATAAGTAATAATCTCTAATGTCTAGTCTATGTCTTAGTATTTAAGAACTAATTTGCATTTTAACTATTTCGTTCCTTCATATTTTGCGATTCACATACATTTTTAATGTATGTGAGTCGCAAGAAAATACCTCAAACATCTTTAAATACCAGTTATGACCTTTTGAAGAAACTATTTTGCGGAACTTCAATTTAATCTCGTGAGATCCCAAGTCCTTTTGCATATTCTTCTCTTGCTTGCCTGTAAATATAATTTGAGCCAATTTTTGCACATTTATTTTTATTACAATTTGCAATGTATGTTTCCAAGAAAATTTGGTCTTTATTCATGAAAATTATTATGATATGATTTATACAATAGGTGACAATTTCGAGCATCAGTACTTTCTCTCTACACTATACTATTCCTTCCTTTATAATAACAGTTTTCCAGTTCACTTCAACATCACTTCTGAATTACCAGTCTTCTTGAGCACGAATTTCAACTTCTCCGATTTTAACATCTTGTCATTCCATCTCACTTCATTTCACTTCACTCACACTAATAATTTTGCATATTTTACAAAATATTTTTATATTTAATAAATGCAAATCTGCAAATGGCTAATCAATTCTTCATGTTTTATCATGTATTCGAGCTGAGTTTCTCCAATTTGTACATTTTTCATCTAATTAATGCGTTATAACTAGAATCACTTATTGATGGCTGAATATAAATTATTTCATCTGCTATTATTGCTCGAGATGCTATTTGAGAATTTTTCAAGTGCTGAATCATTTGAGATAGCGAACGATTTGAATGAGTCATCACTACATCAAGCGTCAATCACGTCTTATCTTACATCAACATCGACGACTATTTTGTCTGATGAAAATTCAGCTCATAATTCCAATCGTTTACAAACAACTCAAATAGCTAATTCATACGGTATGCTTTGTGTTAGCATTTAGAATTCGTGATCGTTATTTCAAATCATGTTACGTCTAGTCTTATAAAGAGCAGACTATTTATTTGTATTCAAAACGTTTTTATCGGAAATTATTTCTGCTCTAACTTTGAAATTTAGATCACAAATGTAATAATTTAAATAATATAGAAGAGTGAGAAGTTGAGTGACAATGTTAAAATAAGCAATTTTTAGAATTTATATCAAAAATAATATTATTCATAAAATAATGACAATTATAGTGTCACTTTATTGCTTGTAATGACTGCATCTATTTGAATCAAGTATTATTCAAAGCCTTTTTAACTTATGCAAAAGTAATTTTCATACTAACATTAATTTCATATAAAATAAAATTTCATGCATTAAAAAACTTCTAAATCTCTTACCGAGTTCGTTTCTAGTAGAAAACACAGAAAATCACTATCAATTAAATTTGATTTTGATAGGAAAATAGTATGAAGGAGTCATTTGTATGGATACCAAATTATGTAGCAATTTTAATGTGAACAGCTTAATTAATTCGCACTGATAAATTTAGCAAATGTCCAGCAATCAGTTTAGCATAATTTAGAATCCTATCAAAACATGATATAGCAAGCTGGAGTTAATTGAATTTTGCTTTCTAAACAACTTATTAATTTATTCCTAAAGTTAAGAATTAATAAAAACTAATCTGGCAAGTAGCGAATATCAAAAACAAATAGCAGAAGGCAATGGTGAAACAGAAAATTAATTCA